GTTCCGTCCCTGATTAATTACTATATTATTAGGTATGGAGGGCAACATAGATGGAGATCAGTGTGAAAGAGTGCAAAAATTTCCTGTCAATGGTATACACAGCATTTTTAAATGTGCGTGCAAGCCCATACTGGGAGCACCTCTTTAAAATACTTGGTCCTGAGTATCATCACTAGTTTCTCTGCTTTGAAGACTACTTTAGTAAATGAGGCTAAGCTTATGAACATCATGGCCTGTTAAAGTGTATTAATTTCAAGTGTGTATATCTTTGTAGATTGCATTTTTATTTTATATTGTTATTGATTGCCTTTTGGGTATGTACATTCAAATACCAACCACCACCGTGATTATATTTCACTTTTTATTATTTTATATTTTTTCTTCTTTATTTTGTTCTATTTTATGCTCCTTCAATCTTTTAGTAATGGTGGCAATTGTAGTATGAAACAAAAAAAATTGTAGTGTAAATTCACATTAATATTTTACTCTCCAGAATTATTTTACTGCAGAATTTGGGCAATGACAGAGTCAGTGCAGAATTTCCTTTTCAGGTTATACTGTGTATTTTTTCACCTGATGTGTGAACATAGTGGGACAACAGTGAATGTCATAAATCACTTAAGAATTAATTTGGTTTTAGTTTATTTTTTATTTTGTTAAAAGTCTTCTAAAGTTGTTTTTTGCATTTTCTTCAGAATAAAAGTTTTTTTATCACCACTTAATCATTCTCATTTGTTAAAAAAAAGTATTTGTCTTTTCTGTCAGTTTGATGTTATGTAAAATTCTGTGAAAAGCATCTGCTAGTTTGAAATTTAAAGTTGTATTTTTGCATACAATAGAATCAGCATTTTATGAAAAGAAATAATTATTTTAATTTTTAATTTGACTTGTTTTGATGATTTTTTTTCATTTAATCAGATTTTATACAGATAGAGATGTCTAGTTAATTAAAAAGTGCATTTTTACAATATGCATAAGTATTGTTATTTGAAGATAATGTCAGATAGGTTATGAAAAGGATATTTGAGGATTAATTCAGTATTTGAGAAATCATCTTTTATGTTTTCCAGAAAGTTGCATTTATATCACTGAATGAACATCTCTAGTGTGTTCCCCTAAAAATGCATTATAAAAATCTGAAGACAATTTTTAAATAAATCACAAACTAATGAATGAGAAGTGAAACACTTAAGTGCTTCAAGAAAAGATACAAAATGGTCCTATGTGCTTTAAAGTAGAAAAGTTAAAATATAAAAAGTGGTTGGTGGTAATGCTGGAAAAAGAATAATTGATTTAGAATAAAATTTTACTGCAGTGGTACTTCACTAACGCTTCATTTTTGTTTAAGTAAAACTTCTTTTGTGTAACTGGGCTGAATATGGATGCAGGATGGTGTTAGTGTGTTTCAGCTTATGGTGAGTAATGGTGTTTCTCTTACTGAGGTTTAGCCTGCCATCTTTCCATGGCAAAGTGCCTGTTGATATTCCTGGGAGTTTGGGCAACTGCAGAAGAAGACATATTAAATAGTACTTTTGAAATTATGTGCAGAAGTAATAAGAACATTAAAGTTGCAGAGTTAAGCACCAGAAGTTGCCTGTTCTAACCTTAATGTAGTCTTGTTGTACGTATACATTATGATAATTCTGTTCCTTGTTATACTGAAAATCTGTTTCAGATTTTCTTAAATGCAAGATTGTCATCTGTCTTTTTGCAGTTCTGTGCTCCATCTCTTGTCTCTCACATACATTGAAAAGTTAAGTACCTTGAAGAAATAACTTTCTGATCATGTGGTAAAAAGCTGTATCACAGGTGATAGGCACTGGGGGATGAAACTAACACTGCATGAGAAACAGAGCTGTCAGCAAAATGCTTTAGTTGGTGGTTTGTTTCTGTTTCTGTCCCTACGATTACACTGTGGCCTGGATAGCAGCTACAGAACTACTTACAGCTTCCTGATAGAAGAAATGGTAACTGAAGTAACACAAAAATTACTCTGAGTGAAAGTTGGGAAAAAAAGCTGCTGATAAGGTTCCCTGCAAAGACAGTGAAGAAGATTCATTGATTCTATAATTTTTCTGCAGATTAAATCCCAATTACATTGTGATGACCTAATGATGGACTAGACTTGACATGTTTCAGAATTCAGGACAGAGTGTATTTGTGAGACTATTATTGTTAACAGGAGAGAGAAGAGGGTTGTTTTCTATTAACATGTCTCAGATTCTGAGGGTTCATGTTTCAAACAATTACCTGAGGTTTTAAACTGAATTATCCCATAGTGTTGAGAGTATGATCTGTTTTCAGCCTGTAAATGTGCTGTGGTGTGTGGCTCCTACCAAATGATTTTGAATGAGTATTTTTCGGTGCTTCAAAAAGAACAATTTAGTTGATAAGCCTAAATATACCTGGATTGGCTGTTTCTGAGTTGCTGTTAACATGTTTTATTGGGTTATAGGGTTTTTCTGCCATCCCTTTCTCATGAGGTTGTCTGCTGTTTCTGCCATGATCATTACCAGAATTCTAGAATATAGGTCATGCTGCAAGCACCTCCAAACACTGGTGTCTGCCATGATCATTACCAGAATTCTAGAATATAGGTCATGCTGCAAGCACTAACTATACCTCCAAACACTGGTATTTTAAGATGTTTATGTATGTCTGTATATACCTAAACACATGCACAAACATATGTGTGCATGAGTATAAAGGAGCTGATACTGGATTTTGGCATTACTGATGAAAGTAGCACAAGTAAAATTGTTCTTCAAGCCACATTTTTATTTTCTTGATATTTCTAATAGAAATTATAAGACACCTGTGAATGCTTAAAGACCCTGTCATGAAGTGACACTTGCTTGTCTGAGGATTTCCCCTTGCACTTTCATGACAACTAAAATCTATGGATGTGTTCTTGAGTTCAGCCCTGAAGGTTCAACATCTGGCTGATGGAAACGAAACATTTTCACCAGAGGTTCTTGCACTTGGAATTTGCTTCCTTCTGTGGGTCTGTGTCAAAACCTGACTGAGCCTGTTTAACTTAAGGCAATGGTGTAAAGCCCATCTGTTCCTTGAAACTTTTCCCTGAAGGAGCGATCTAGAGTGTATTTATATTCCCAGCTGTGGTTGTGCTTTTTTTTTAAGTACTTAGCTGATGCTTTTGGACTAATTTGTGGTTTGGGTTTGTTTAAAGGTGTGCTGAATGGATGCACTTTGAAAGCAGATTTTAGCAATGTTTCAGAACTTCCCTGTCTTTAACTTGTGAGTACAGTGAAGAGTTCATGTCCCTGTTTACTATGAATGGAGAAATAACACTTATGAACTGGTACTGTTAAGAAGAATAGAGAACTCACTGAGACTTCTATTTAAAATATGCAAAAGTCTGAAAAAGTGGAAATGCAAAGCATTTGTAACTGAATATCTTAGAGCACCTGATTTTAAAATAGTCTGTCAGTGGAACAGGTTGTTATATTCTTTAGAAAGGATGAGTATTAACAGTTTTGTAGATAGTTTTACTATCTTTGCTTTTGGACTTGGAATATACCAATATAATTTGGTAGGAGGTGCATGTGATAAAGCAAGGTGACATTTAAATTCTAATCAAAATTTCCTTCATGAACCTTTGTTGAGTGTTCTTTGGGGGAAAAAAAGGTGTACAGTTAAGTAAATGGCAAAATTTTAAAATCCCCAACACTCTTGAAACGGTGGTGTTTTTCTGGATGAAGAGATTGTATTTCTCTGACATCATAACTGTAAGTAGTTTAGATTAACACTTTTATGGGAGGTAAAGAGACAATGTTGTTATGAAGGTGCTTCAAATATTTGTATTGGAGTGGGGTTATATTCATTTGTTCTTGTAGGATGTTTGAATGAATAATTTTATTAATTAAAGAAGATATTGCATCTTGTCTACATGAGGAAACCATCACAAACATAAAGTCTAACAGCTATTCAGCATGAACTCCTTACGTGAACAATTTTATTCTGTACTACAAATGACCTTTCACAGTTTAGTTGACTGAAAAATATGCAAGTTCCCTCCAGCCCCAATGACAAATAAATATTTATGTAGGGAGTTAGTGCAGAACAGTTACTACATGATTAAGCTATACTGTCAGTTTATTCTGTACTCCACTGGCCTTCTTAAAAGCATCCCTAGAACAAAGTATAGTATTGTTTTACAGATATATTCCTACAGGTACTTGTATGTTGTATATGGACTTGAAGAGAAATATATTGTTTCTGAGAATTTCTATGAAAAATGTTTACATTTTTGCTGGCAATGTGATTGGAACAACATAACTCTGGTACATATCACTGGACTTGAAGATGCTGGTCATGCAAACTCGACTATGGTTATTTGTAAATAAGTTAATAGACTCATCACCTTTAGTTACTATGTTGACTTATAAGGACTAATGATATTAATAAAATAATAGGATTAACAGCAGCTGGTATGTTTTGGGTTCAGCTAGAAGTCATAAATACTTCTTTTCAATAATGGTAAAATAACAAAATTACCTTTATTCTGTTGTGTAATATTAGGTGACAAAGCTAAATGCCTCCTTGTCACTGGCTATGTAATAGGCATTAAAAAAATAAATTAGTTACCACGAGAGCTATCCTATGTCAAGCAGCTTCTGAAGATGGCCACTGTTCTACTGCCTTTCTGCCTCTCTAGCACAGTGAATTCAAGCCACAAATATGGAGTCTTCACATGAGAAAAATGGAAAATTCTTGATTGCCTGTAACTCTTAAGCTGCATGAACACAATAACATTGATTGTATATTAGAGTATTTAAATACGAAACACATTTTGGCTTTTCTTAAGAATGTAATTTCAACTATAATTTGCTTGTTTTGCAGTTTTTATCAAGTAACTACTTTTGTTCAAAAGCTGAAGTGTGCGTTATTTTCAGGTGCTTTGATCACATTTTTTTGTCTTAAAATGTATCTCTATGTATTTCTTAAACACACTTTCTTTGGTTCTATAATTTTCTAAGAAAATAGAAAAACTGGGATTAGAGCTCAATGGGAACAAACAGCGTTTGGAACAAGCCCAGCAGGATGTGACAGAAGCCAGAGAGGAGTGCCTAAAACTGACAGAACTGCTGAGTAAATCTGAGCACCAACTGCACCTCACCAGGTACCCCTTATCCTATTACATGCTGTAGTACCAATTTCATTCTGCTGATTTTTTGCCACAGGCTTCCCCGCAGTTGTAGATACTTGCAGTCATTGCCTACACGGGCAAGCCCTCAATTGTGTTAGATGTGGAGATTTGAATAAGTAAGTTCTGAACTACAAAGTGAGTTATGAACTATAATTTATAAAAGTGAATTAGTAATGTGTAGAAGAGGCAATGTTCAGTTCTGGTGGTGAGGTGGCATGGTTTTAGGCAGGAAGAAGAGCAAGGGAGGCTGCAGCTACCCTTTTTTTCTGTTGCTGTGCTTAGTAGGACAAATGTATTTGAAATGTTGTTTGAGACTGTAGTGTAGAGCAGCAGTGTTGAGCATAGGAGTTCTTAGATTAATAACCTGAAATTTCTTCAGCAGAATGACCAGGAATATATATACAAATATACAAATGAACATATTTTTCTGTATGAGGTAAGCTCAAGTATGTGAGGAGGGTGTTTCAGTCTCTTGCTCAGTGAAGATACAGTACAATGCATTGTGTAATGAAAGACCTCCCTTGAGCCTATTCCATCCTTGGGTATAAATCCCAATGTCTTTTGCTGCACTATTCATTACACATTTCTAGAAAACTCCAGAAGGCTGACATGCCAATTATTCATTGTAACTTGATTCTGGGTAACTGCAGAACTTTTTTCTTTTTTCCTTTTGCCTTGGAAAACGCTATTGTCCAACTGTTTGCAGGATTTTGGTTGTGTGTGTGGGTTTTTTGTTCCATTGCCCTGCTCCCCCCAAGAATGAACATCCATAAACAAATCTGGCAGCTTTCACTCAGTACTTAAAGGAAAAAGTTAAGTTAGTTTAAATTTTTCATAGGGGGGAAAAAAAAAGCTTAGATTTTTATCACTTAACAGAAGTCTGTGTGTTTATCCAAGTCTTGTACTTTTTGGGCTTTGTGAGAATTCTGCCATTGAGTAAATGGAAATAAAATAGAGCCTTGTCTAAACTATTAAATTCAATGAATCATTTTTTTATTCAGCTAAATTTCTGTGTAATTCAGAGCACGGTTGTTTAACAGATGGAAGAAAGTACCACTCTAACAGCCTGTATTTAGAGAAAAAAATATGCTAGAGGTTAATGAACTTGAAAAAAGTTTTGGGTGAGTTGTTAAGATATCTAAAGTTTGGATTTAGCAGAACTTTATTAATAATGATTTGTTGTGATAGCTAACCAAATGGCTTTACCACGCTCCTTTTAGCAAAGGCTGATTATATGCAATAAAGCTCTGGATATCTTGGAGGAAATCTGACTAGTGAATCTATAATTTTACTCTTTTTTTTTGGTGAAAATACTCAAAATGTAAAAATGAGAACTACTGCCTGCTTTTACATAGCAAAGTAATTAAAGCTGGATACCTAACATAGAGATGATTCAGGTAGCTTTTTGATGTAGTCTCTGACTCGGTAAGTTTCTGGGATGCAAATCATTAGAGGCTGGGAACAGTATTTTGGGCAAATAATGCTCTGTGCTGGCCCTGTTCTCATTCAATTTCACAGACACGCTTTTTGAGACAGATGCTGAACTGCCATGGCTCCTTTGACCTAGTGCGGACGCTCTTCTGCACGGTCCTGATCTCCTTGGGGTTTTCTTGGTTGTTTGGGGTTTTTTTTTGTGGATTTGGGGGATTTGGTTGGTTGGGTTTTATTTTTTTGGGTTGGGTTGAGGTTTTTTTGTGTTAGTGTGTGTTCATGTTTGGCATCTCCGTAAAAGATTTGAAATATTTTCTATGCTGATGTGTATTTATTGGAAAAATGAATATGATGAGGCATGGGAAATAGTTTCAATTTTTTTTTCTTGACATTCCCAAATTCTGTAACACTGTACATTTTTGTGTTCTCTGTACACTTGGAGTGTCTGTCTGCTTTTGAAGAATATGTTAGGTGATGTTGCTTGAAGAAGGGGGGAAAAGAGATGAGAGATTCATTGCTCCTGATCTGTTACCTGTTTTCCCCTTGAACTCAAATTCATAGGGCAGGGTTTGAAATGTTCTCGTAGTGTCACCTGTTTTCCCTGCCTTGCAGAGGGAAACATCCCCTACTGAAATGACACTTGTCCTTAGTACTGTACTCTTTTTTCCTCTCAGCTCACCTCCTCGCAGAACAGGTTTTCTGTGCTAGTGAAGGTATAAAAGTCACATGTCTCTAGTGGCATTAGTTTTGCATTTTGAACTCAGTATGTTTTTCATTGATTGGTACATCCATAGCTGTTGCGTGTAAATTATGGTTTACACTTACTGTTTGCCTTCTTTCATTTATTCCCTTCACCTCAAATGGCAACTGTGTCAGAGAAAATACTTGAAGGGTAGGGGTAATAGCAATCCTATGGGGGTTGTAGACTCATTCACTGTGGCGCTTGCCAAGGAAAACAGATTTTAAGCTCTAGAGTCCTGCCTGTGGGAGGTTGCTGCAGAAATTGCACTGATTTAGTGCATCTCTAGGGTATTCTGGCCTTGGCCTCGTCTTGCTGATTCTCTTCTTTTCAGGAGAGGACCAGCTGGTTCACTCCAAGTCTTCTCACAACGCTGGAGTTGAGGGAGGCCTGTACTGCTGTTACACCATTGTGGATAGTCTTTCTGTTGCCTTGCATGACCTGTCTGTGCTGTTCTGGCAGAAATAAGAGGTGGCTGAGAAGATACAGAAATAATTCTTTGTTTTGTAAGAATTATTGTATTACTAAGGAGAAAAGCTTCACTAATCCACTAAGTTTCGATATTGGAAATAAATATGATTATAAATGAGTACAAGAACTTTGGATTTTAATGTATAAAAATGAGATAAATGTATATGAAAGGAATAAATGAGAAAAAACATGCAGTCTATATCATAATGAGAAAAGAAAGTACTCTGCAGAACAGCACTTTCCAGGAGTGCCATTTCTTTGCTGTATCCTAGTTTTCAGACACTGTTGATTGATTACCAACTAAACAGCTTCTAAGTTAACAAACTGTACTTGTTAAAAAGGAATAAAAAAAGGTTACAATTAGCTATTCTAAACCATTGCCACAGAGTTTAAAATTGCCTTTTCCTGTCACCTTTCTTCCTGGAGCAATATGTTGCTTAGAAATACTTGCTATTAACATGCACTTTCTGCTATTGAATCTAGTTAGTAATTCTAATTTGTATGTCTTCAAAAGACAGGGAAATGCAGAACTTCCACTGTGTAGTTTTGCTTGTCAGTCATGTAACTTTGCAGATGAGTCACCATGCTATGAGACTGACCATGATTGTTTAAAGTTTTCTTAGGGGTTTCTTTTGCCCTAGTTTCGGCTTTGAGGTTACTGCAGTAGTAGAATCTTATTAAATTAGTTCTTAAGTCAAATTGCTCTCACTTTGGCAAGGTTGGGTCTTGCTAATTAAGCTTACCTGAAGCCCTTCTTCAGAGGGTAGAAAACATACAGGTCTATTTTTCTTAGTTAATGAAAAATAGTCATTAAAAATCATGTCAATATGCTCATGGAAAAGATCATATAAAAGATGCAAGATGTTAACAACTTGTCCAGATCTTAGTGTGCCATCTAATGTAAAAATTTTTTTCACTATTCTTGTGTATCAAAATCATCATTAAAAAACATTTTTCCTTGTCTTTTAAACCAGATCTGGAGATATTATTTTTTTCAGTTGCAGTCAGATGTAGTTCCTGTTCACATACATCAAACAAGTTAAATACATCCTAAGAAGTGAGGGAATCATCAAATTTCAAAATTAAAATTTTATTATGTCATCATGCATTTTCTCAGGGATAAAGAGAATGGTGATAGGTGGCTGAAGATATTTTTGACTGAAATGTCATCTGAAATTTGATAGAAAATATAATTGATTAGAATAGAAGCAGATTTAGTTTAGTTTAAAATTTATTATTCTTGTTTGTTTATATGAAACGCTAAGAACTTCTCAAGGTCACCTTGTAGGTAGGGCAAAATTACTAAATGAACTTGTGTTTTCATGTTCAGGTGAGCCACCAAGTTGCTCTAAATCCCTGTCACTCTCTTGAGACACTAAAGTTTATATTACAGTGGGTCAGTGGTTGCTGTTTTTCTTGATTATTCTTTTTCCCCCATTATGTGATATTTCTTCCATCTTTTTGACAATTATATGATCTCTAGAAAGCAGCATATCTAAGGACATGCCAGTTGGGTTTCAGCAGTGCTATAGTCATCCTACTGTGCATTGGTGCTTCTTGCTGGTTTCAGTGACTCCATTAAGACTAATTTCTATTACATGTACGATAAGTAAAGCACATACCCTCCCAGGTTAATGTGGCATTACTTAATCTCTGAAGCTCTGGTGTTGAGCTGTATGTCATCACCAGTGTTCCTTGTTAGAATTTGCAGCCTGCCTCATTCATTGTTCTCCCTATTTAAGCTATACTATCAAATGATAAAACAAACTTCCTGGTGGTTATACACTGCCTTCCAGGGAGTTGCACAATACTTAGTATTTATTGTGGGGTTTTTTTTCTGGTAGTATCAATTAGCTAGCAACATGCTTAATACCATGCCTTTTCTAACAATTTTAGCATCTCAGAGTCCATAGTCTATGCTGGGAAGCAGTTTTGGAGAAACATTGTTACTAATATTAAATGACTGAGATATGCTTAATCTACTCAGACTGACTAACTGATGAAAGTACCAATAACACTAGAACTGGGGGTGTGGGGGGGAAGAAGCAGAAATGAGGTGTAACCAGTGATTGATTTCTAATTTTTTTGAAAAAAAAAAAAAATCAATACGCAAAAGCATTATTTTAAAATGCAGGGATGAGTGATAACATGAAACAACTCTAACTAATAAACTTTTTAGATTCTGCTTCATATGTTTACTTTTCATTAAATTTAGGGACGGTTGCGACTATGTTGTTGTGATTCAGTCAACATTTATTTCTATCTGGTTTTCATATACAAAGGCATCAGGATGCCAGAAAATAAACTGTTAACGGAGAATTAACTTCTTTGG